CCACCCGCCCCGGCTTCCCAGGTTGTTGCTCCCCTCCCCGGCGATCAGTCCCCCTCGCGGGAGCCGGTGACCCCGGGGACACTCACCGTGAGGGTCAGCAGGAGCAGCCGACAGAGGGCTCCGCTCCGGGAGCCGGTGGGTCCGGCTGCCGCCATGGAGAGGACGAGGGCCAGGTCGCCCGCCGAGGCACCCGGAGGCCGAGACGCGAGGGCGCGGCGGGGAAGGGCCGCGGCCGGGCGCAGGAGGTGGAGCGCGCGGAGAGGCGCTTTTCTTCTTCGTCCCTCTGAAGCGCCTACCTCTCACCGAAGGGGCTTTTCCTCTGCTCGAGGGTGGGGCACCGGGCGCGTCCGAAAGACACTGATCGGCCCCTCCTGGCAGTTTTCTTAAGTCCTCACTTCTCTAAGAACGCGGCCGGTGGGAACTTCCTCTCGCGCCACCCTGCCCTAGGGTGCTTCTTGCCCCTGGACGCCACCTATATGTCCCTTCTCCCCCGCCCGCCCCGGTGTCCGCCTGGCAAGATTAACAGCCGGCCCTGCCCAGCAGAAGCCCTGACTGTACAGAGACTCACTCCTGAGTGCGCTTTCGGCCCCAGCTCCGCCCAGTCCTCTGTGGTCCCTGCCTTCGGGTCAATCACAGACCGTCGAGGACCACTGCGGCTGAGCTGTAGAGGCTGCCTTTTGTGTCAACGCAGCTTAAGGCCCACCTGGTAGAGGGTGGACGCCAGGAAAACTATTCTATGCACTTTTCAGACTTTGAATGTCTGGAGTGAATTTCCTACAGACAGACAAACGCAGTTCAGAAAGGTGTCTGTGACACACCGTTCTTGTGCTTTTAGAAATGTTATGGTCAGAACGACAATGGTACAAGAAAATAAACATAAAGCGTGGAATAATAGACACTGAAGACTATCAACAAGATGAATAAGTGGGAGGAAGTGAGGGCTGACAAATTACCTATTGGGTACAATGTTCACCATTCGAGTCCACTAAAAGCCCAGACTTCACGACACAACATACGAATGTGAGAAAACCCCTAAATCTATTTAAAATGATTTTTAAAGAAAATTTTAAAAATGAAAATGACTATAATTTAGAGACAAGAATAAGCACATATATACAAAAACATACACAAAGTTAAGGAATCAGGCTGGGTGCAGTGGTCCATGCCTATAACCCCAGCACTTTTGGAGGCAAGGGCTGGAGATCACTTGAGTCCAGCAGTCTGAGACCAGCTTGAGCAATATAGTGAGACCCCCCCCCACCTCGACAAAAGTATAAGAATATTTTTTTTAAGTTGAATCAATGCTGATGGGAAAATAACAAAGCCAAGGGTGAGTTACTATTGAAAAGCAGGGATTGAGGTCCTAGACGTTTACTAAATGTGGGTTACTGATTTTCTCCAATAACCTCCCTGATCACAAATAAAACCAACCACAGGCCTTCCTATAACTTTTTTTTTTTTTTTTTTTTTTTTTTTTACTACATGGGACTCCTGAATATCTTCTATTGGAGAATTCTTTCTTTACAACCATCAAAACCAGGGTCCGTGATGGGAAATGAATAAGAATGGAATCATTTGCATTTTATTTGAAGTGCACTTAAACTGGTTGAATTCTTGCTTCACTTAATCTGGAAGATTAAAATATAAAAGCCGAGTGCTTTCAGCTTTTCAGAAAGTAATGACAAGGCATTCTTGACTCATCCTTCTGCACCTCTTTTCAATTACTGACTTAAACCTGGTAAGTCTGACCACAAAGGAGAAACTTGGTCCGCTCCCTTTTGTTTGGTCTAAGTCTTCTCAGAGATGTTCAGATAATCATGTTTGAAAAGCCAACCGTGACACTCACACCATTTCAATTCTTGAAAATATTTTCTACTGCAATATAATTATACAGCCAAATTATTGCATTATTGAGCATATACTTATAAAGTTCAAAATTAATGTCAAACAGCACATGCCTTGCATTCTCTGTGTTAGCCTCATGCTCTATTTTATTAGTGAATGCTGCATAGTGAGCTGTTCTGTTGTCTTGTCATCCATAAAGTCATCATTGACTCTTTGCTGGTAAAATAAACCTGGGTCATCAGCATGAGACTGCAGCTTACATTCTTCCTTCCATTTCCATATTTGTTAGCACTCATGTTATTCCAGCAATGATTTCATAACAACACCTATTAATGATGACCTCATAGTCTCTAGCATGACGCTTTTCAGAGGACGGAGAAGCTAGATAGTTTCAGGTTCTAGAAATCTACTCAGACTGTCATCATTGCCTTTGACAATAGGACATTTCCAAATTCTTTCCAACTCCTTAACCTCTAATGCCTTAAGGGTGGCTCATGTTGTTCCTCATTCCAGAAAAGGGTGGAAGAGCAATTTGACAAGGATTCATTTTAGATATTTATTTTCATCTTTCACACCAGGTACCTGGTTGAGGCTGTCAAAATGATGATTTTTTTGTTTGTTTCATCATGAAAATTTTGTAACAAAAGAATGAGATATAAACTATTTACTCTAAATAAATGACCCAACTTATTTAATGTGTTTTGGTTGGTCTATATTATCACTGAAATTGATTCCTATAAAATACAGGTTTGAAACAAAGGCCAAATATGTAAAGAGACAATGAAATGTGGATAGACGTGATTTTTTTTTTTTTTTTTTTTGTAAAATGTCTTTTGCCTTTGAATAGGATTCTGCTGACACGAACTAGTTTTCCACTGTCTTATGTAAAAAGTGCACTAGACCAAAAGTGAGAACCCAACTTCCTTCTATGTTGCTCAAGTAACGTCTCAGTTCTCAGTCCTCCTATTCATTAAGTAAGATGACAATAATAAGATAATACTGGATGCTGTCTCTGGGACTTCCCATAACCAAAATTAAACTATTTAGACTGCTTATGACAGATTTTTGAGAAGCATGGCTGCAAATAAGTCTTCATTTCAAAGATAAAGTAGAAAGACAGAACTGGAGTAGTCCTTAAAAAAATGAACCATCTGCAATCCAAGGCCCACGGGACAAGTCTACCCAGCTTACCATCACAGTTTTCTAATTTCAGAGGTCAGAAACTAAAGATACTAAGAGCAACAAAGAAGAAAGTCCTGCTTACTGATAAGCACCTAGACAACTCTCCCTGAGCTTCGTGATTCCTGCCAGTCAGCCCCACATCTAGAACCAGAGGAGTGACCCACGTGGACAGATGTGATCTTTAGGGTGAATTCATCTCAACATGTCTATGACATAGAATGGATCTCAAAAGCAAGGGAAATACAGACCTAAGGAGGTGTAGGGACAGGATTAAAGGGCCTGGTCTAGTTACTTTATAAATTGGAATAGAAAGGGAACATCTGCTAATTACAATAAAATTAGCACACTTATTTACTGTTGATACAAGGATTAAGTGATATGATGCATGGAAGGCACTCAGAACAAAGCCTGGCATATGCTAAGTGTTCCCTAGGTGTACATTATTATAAGTGTCTATCTGCTTTCAGTGTACTCTGTGACACTCTCACCTCATCCTTTTGACAGCTCCCTGTTTCCTGTCCTTCCACTACCTTTCCTGGGTAGCTCTCTGTTCTGATCTAGTGCTAATTGATGCACCACTCCCAAATCCTTCAACTGCCTTCCCCTAAACACTAAACCCAGATCTTATGAACACTAAAGAGTTAACTATGGAACATTACGACGAAAGGCTGCAGTGTGTCAACTGTGTACATTCTGAAAATTTTGACCAGTTGTTTTTTTTTTTTGAGTTGGAGTCTCACTCTGTCCCCCAGACTGGAGTACAGTGGCATGCTCCCAGTCACTGCAGCCTCGACCTGCTGGGGTCCTGTGATCCTTCCTCCTCAGCCTTTCAGGTAGCTGGAACTACAGGCGTGCGCTACCACGCCTGACTAATTTTTGATTTATTGTAGAGATGAGGTCTTGCCAAATTGCCTAGGCGGGTCTCGAACCTGTGGGCTCAGGCAATCCACTCGCCTCGGCCTACCAAAGTGCTGGGATTACAGACTGAGCCACTGAGCCCAGCCTGGACCAGTTTTTTAAAAGGACTCCTTCACAATATGAGAAAAAAATGTTTTTAAATTTTGCATTTTCAAATAAACAATCACTTTTAAATGCTGTACATACTTCTCTGAAGATTGCCTTTCAAAATTGGCCTTAATAAAAGGTGGTGTATAATCAAATTCAATTGCCCCTACATTTTTAGTTTTTTTTCTTTGGGTCAGCGTCTCACTGTGTAGTTCAGGCTGGAGTGCAGTGGCGCGTTCATAGCCACCACTGCCTCCACCTGCTGGGCTCAGAAGATCCTTCTGCCTCAAACTTCCAAGTAGCTGGAACCACAGGCACCTACCATCACGCCCAGCTAATTTTTTTTAAAATTTATTGTAGAGATAAGGTCTCACCATGTCGTCCAGGCTGGTCTCAAACCCCTGGGCTCAGGCAATCCTCTCACCTCTGCCTCCCAAAATGCTGGGATTACAGGTGTGGAATATGTTAAAAAAAAACAAAACAAAACTAAGGAACAATAAGTTATAAATTAATTCTTATTAAAGTACTTTTTAGCAAATCCTTAACAACAACAAAAACGCCCATGAATGAATTCTGAAGCAACTGGTGAACTTGACTGGAGACAGTTCACAATGCCTAGTCTGCCTCTAACAGGTACTGTTGACATGAGCCCCATGTGAGTGCTATGAAAGAGCATATCCTTAAACTGCAAAACTCTCTTTCATTTGCTTTATTAACTAATTCAACAAGTATTCACTGAGCACCTACTACATCTCAGGCATTTTTCTGTATACTGGGAGTATAGTGGTGAATAAGAGAGAAAGGATGCTTGTTCAAGGGAAGCACCCAAGGAATTATAAAATAACCTGTTAGGACAAGAAATACTCATCGCCACAAGTTTGCATAATGTTGCTTTCTTTGAAAAAGAAAAGATCAGCTGGGCTTGGTGGTTCAGCCTATAATCCCAGCACTTTGGTAGGCCAAGGCAAGTGGATTTCCTGAGCCTACGGGTTCGAGACCAGCCTGGGCAACTTGGTGAGACCATGTTTCTACAATAAATAAAAAATTAGCCAAGCATGGTAGCACGTGACTATAATTCCAGCTACTTGGAAGGCTGAAGCAGAAGGATCTCTGGAGCCCAGCAGGTTGAGGCTGCGGTGGCTGGGAATGTGCCACAGCACTCCAGTCTGGGCAACAGAGTGACTCCAACTCAAAAAAAACAAAAAAAGAAAAGAAAAAGACAAGATCAATCAATCACATTAAGTACAATAAAATATAAAC